GACCACATTGTACGAATACACAGTTAAAAAATGATACAACATTAGACGCAAGGCAGAGAACCCGCAACCCGTCATAGCGGCAAGATGGGAAAAGAACCTGCAGATGGACCCTGCCTGTCTCCTTCCAGACAATCCCGTGGCCCTTTTACGCCTCCATGAGCAGAAGAGAGGAGGTCAGATCGGAAACTTCAGCACACTGCCAGATGTGCTGGGATCAAGAAAGAGAGACACTAAATCCTCACTGCTTCCTACATTGTCAACATGCAAGATCTCTCTGGGACAAATGCAAAGTAGCTTGGTCCAAACTTACGCCCAATGAATACCCCCCCAGGGATCAACTTTTCCTCTTGACAGCAATCGGCACGAAGGCTTAGTCCCCGAGGAAGATGGAGAAATCATAGAGCTGCTGAGAAGAACAACCTTATGGGTAATCTGGAGAGCTAGATGCGGGACCACAATTGGCAAAAAGAAGATATCGACTAATGAATCATGGGAAGAGGCGAAAGTATTTGTGGAAACAGGAGTCAGAGCGAAACGGAAGCAAACCCTGAGTAGGATGGAGAAGGAAGGGGAAGCACACAAGAAGACCGAGCTACAAAAAGAATTTGAGAAGAAATGGCTAAAGGGAGTTTTACTGGCACGGCTAACGGGAAAAACCCTCCACTTCACAGACTGGTGGACTCCAGCCAGTCCAATGACAGAAGGGGACGGAGAAACTCCGATGGACCTGGAGTGTTGAAAAACCAACAGCCGGCCTCATTCATCCCTTCCAGGGAAACACGGCACGAAGAGGGTTTAGGGCCTAAGGCCCACAAGAGAGTATTAGACCAGCGCTTAGACCGCTCTATATCCCATCACGAAGCCACTGTAAATATTCAGACGGAATAAGGACAGCCTAGAGCAAGGACTCAGAATGACCAGGCAGCACGGAGAGAATGAGGATCCGGAATTCATCCCATGGGCAACTGAACAATTAGACCGAAAGGACCAAGCACAATACCTGTTGGTACCAGTTCTGGCACCACCACAATTAGTTAAACTAGGGTTGGTAAAATAAGGAGGACACTTATCGAGAAACATGAAGTAGGTTAGGATAAGAATCATCAGTCCATTAGGATTAACCTCCCAAGAAGAATCAGGGTCTAGGACTAAGGAACAGCTCAGTTTCTTATCTCTCGCACTCACGACGGGTAACCAAGGGTTTAGGGTTTAGGATTGTTAAAGAAATTAGGTAATCAGGGTGTTTAGACTTGAGTCTTTTCAACAGATTCATAAGCGCCCCAGAACACTCTGATAGAATACACCTACCTGACAGCTTCAAACTAAGGAGGAGCAAAACTGGGTAAGTTGGATTGCCAAACGGAGTTAGTGTAAGCTAACTTAGGCAGGGGCGAGGGGTGATACATCCTTCCTCGAGGAAGTAATCAATGCCGTCCACTCGGGCCTCCCAGCCATAATGGGGGGGAGCGTGCGTGAGTCTCTTATGTATCTCTTTATTCAAGTTTATTGACTTGCCGCGAAGTTGCCGGGGGAAAAGGAACCAGACTGTTGCTCCCCAGAATGATAGGAGCCAGAACCAAGAGGTTCTGAAAAAAAAAAGAAAAAAAAAAAAAGAAAAGAAACGGTTAGCCACCCACAAGTCAAAGTGTAAAATCAAAGAGAGAGAGGAGTGTAATATATAGGCCAGTCAGCAATTTTTGGAAAGTTGTTGATAATGCATACATCAGTGGCAGGTAATGGCCAGGGATGAGCAAACATTCAGATTTGCAATACGACTGATCGAAGGTGAAACAGCTTGGGTAGTCATTCGCCATACGTATGCGCAATAATCCAACCGCATGACCGTGATGGTGTGAAACCAAACTCACCCAGATGTTGTTTTTCCCACAAGATAATGGAGTGACATGTGACATACAGGCCAAGACAACATCCTTACAGCCCATACATGTGCGCAATAATCCAACCACACGACCATGATGGTGTGATACCAAACTCACCCATAGAAGATAATGGAGTGACATGCACCACACACGCCAAGACATTTGGTCACCTTTTCGATGCAATTTGGTTAGATCGTCTTGGCCACAACTCAGGCAAAATACTGCTGCATAGCAAGAAGTCATCGGAGTCAAAGACAACAAACTGAGAACCGGCGATCCGTGCTTTCATAAACTGGTAGGCCACTGCAAGCAGAAGGGCAAGGGACTACACAGTGTTTAAGCACCAGGGTAGAGAAGAGGTGACGGGGGTCTAGCGATGTGGGGGGGCTGGGGGTTCACGCGGAATCTTCCTCTTCCAAATTGGAATGCACGAGTAGTATTCCAAAACAAGCAGCAGATGAACTCTGATGACAGAGATGCCATTGGCACTCACCTTCTGCAGCACCCTTATTTTCGCACAAGCTAAGGACTGCAGGGTTCGCCTCAACTCCCTGTCCTCTATTCCAGTGGCGTCTTTAATTTCCTGGTAGCTCAATCTGTCCTCATCATTGAACAGCATCAGCACAACGGTCTGATAGTGCATAACAACAAGAAGTTAGAAGCTCGCTCACAACGAGGTCAAGTTAAGAGTCTGTTAGACAGAGACTGCCATTTACAGAACACTACAGAGGGTAGAGCAAGAACGGACCCACACACATAGTGCAGCGACTTCACAGAGCCACAGTGCGTGTTGTGCATCAAACTACCACCCCATTGTTTACAACTGGCATGGTAACCACAGGGGCTCTGATTCTTCAGATGAAAGTGGCCAAAGCGGTTTTGTTCGTCTGCAAGAACTGGCCCATGCCAACAGGCACCCAGGAAGGAAAACATGCTTTACACATTCCCGAGGCCCATGTGGTCCCTGCTGATAAGTCACCGCAGGCTTTTACTTCGCAAAGGCAGTGGCTATTACTTGTCCAATTGTTTATGAATTCGCAAGAGAAACTTCAGACAAAATGGGATTAAGACTAGCACAACGGCTGTACCTTTCTTCATCCCTCCTCCCTCTCAAGTGGGAGCTGAGAGACGACACATGGGAGTTCGTGCATAGAGAGTATTAGAGACACTATAGGCCTCAAAAAGGTACTCGAGGGCTCATTGGCCTCCTGAAAACCCACTTCAACACTCCCCCTGGAACCATAGAAATGATAGAATAGTAAAAAGCCCATATGCGCTTTACTCTAGCACCTGCAAGATGAGTCGACTGACGGCATCACATGGCACACTGTCATGTTCCATTTGATAAGACATTCTACCGTTTTCTAAGTTCGTAATGCATGCATGATATTGCAAATCCATGTGTGTATTGCCATTCATTACTCCATGGACAAGCATGGCAACAAAAGACAGTCTCACTGAACTTCCAAATCAGCGCGTTGAGGTCAACCCAGACGCAAACACTCAGACCAACCTATTAGCAATTGTCTTCAAGCAAAATAGGAAGTGTCTTCAAGCAAAGTAGCTCAATGCAGTAACTGCCTGGCGGGTAACTGTTAACTTCTTCTTCAGTGTTGATGAGCAGGATGACTTCCGACGGATATGATCCCATCAACAATTGCAAACAAAATTCCCTGTATAATAAAGAATAGCTTCCTGCATGCAGCAGAACCTATTAGACCACTGGGCAGTCTGTACTCAGACCAACCCAACAATACATAACCATGACATGCCGGTAATGACTATTCGACCACTGACATGCTGACGACGACATGCAACAGAGCCTATTAGACAACTGACAAAGAATGGCAACATGCACCAAGAAACTCCTCCAGACCTGAGAAGAGAGTCTCGCCGCATCTTGAAGCCGCATGTTGGCACTTGGAGAGGCATTTCTATTAAGCATAGATTTTGTGTTTTTCAAAAGATCCTTGAAGAAAATCTACTTTCAGTCATGGCCACTGAAAGAACTACATTTCCACTGTCATTTGACAATCTAGGATGCAGAAGCGACTCTCGACTAGGAGTAAGGGTTGGCCCTCCAGAATCCTTTCTGTTTGCTGCCCTGAGTTGATCAGGGTCAAGATTGATCCTGGGCTTGCATCAGTTTTTTCAGTACTTTCAGCCTGGAGTCGGCGCATAGGCAGCACAAACCGCTATTGATTATCTGGTTGTGCAAACTTAGCTTCACTTTGTGTTTCTGTTGTTCTACACTGGAGACACAGAACGGTGGGCTTACCCTAACGCAAACGCGTCAAGGTCAATTGGGATGAGATTGAAAAGCGCAAGGGGATACAGCACAATACATAGACAAGACAGTCACATGCTCTCCAGGACTGGTTGCTGAAAAGACTCACGGCATATGGGTCTAATTGGCCTTCTTAGTCAGTTCTCACTTTGTGGTATAGGTTTGCTGTCAACAGCTCAAATTTTGATGACTGCTCTAGTGCTTGTCAGTGCCTTGCTTACCTTTTTTACTGACGAAGGTTCCTGAATGGCACTATTGCGGATGTGCTTGTTTGTTGCTAAACTCTGACCTAGACTTCCCATGCATCCAACTACGGTGGTAGATTTCAAAAAATAACCATCGCTGCCTGCAAGCATTCTCCAGCCTGATCCTGGGCTTCAAACTGTTGCATGGTGGGGCGTACCAGCAACTGCAGTTGTGGGTAGTCCGAGCGGCTGAACCAGCCGGCACACGAGACAGTAGTGGTTCAACAGAATCACTAATGCAAAGACATCCACTTGTCATTGCGAGCTCCCGAAGTTGGCTTCCTTTACCAAAATATGAACTGCAATCAGGTCCAAACCTTACATTTGGAAAGACGCACAGTCTTTACCTGGAAGAGCGAGACAGAAAGCTCCTTCTTGCCCTTGGGAAAATCGGCCTTCAGTACACAATGACCGAGAGAATTCTGCCACATCAGTCGCCTTCCACTGTGCTTGCTCAGATAAAACTCTTTGAAAATATCCTGGAAAGGGAACAGTGGCAGTCGCGACAAAAATCTGAGAAAAGTCAGCCCATGAAAGGACCCACAAAGCCCTGCAGGCCAAACCTGTTGCTCGATTCACACATACATTTATGCCCTGACAAAGCAGGAAACTCCAATTTCTCCATCTCACTCAATTCAAGAATATTCTTACCCCCAAACCGTGCGTTCGTCACTCCACACTGACGGGAAATGACCTACAGGTAGTGTCATCATTGTTTTGAGATCGATGGTTAATGGAAGACCCAAAATTCGGGTTTTTTTTCCGCATCACTACGCGCAATGTCGTCGAAAATTTTGCGAACAAACTATGCGGGCTCATTATACAAACAACAGAAAACCAAACAGGCAGAAAAATGGGAAAAAAAAAGTAAACTCTAAAGAGCACTATAAAACCGAAGTGCGGAACAAAGAAGTGTGACATGATCAAACCACAGCACTATGCCACAGTATTCCCCAATGGTCCCTAAGGGTAAAAGTGCCGCTCCTGTGAAGCCCACAGTGAAGAAAATGCCTTGACCAATGACCAGTGCTTCACGTGGCAGCGTTTCACGTAACGCACACACCCACACATGCCTTGAATTCTGTGGGGGACCATACACACATGCATACACACATGCAAACACACAAACACATCACTTGCCCCTCCCTTCTGTCTCACCCGCACACTTCACCCCCCCCTACCCAACCTTTCTCTCTCTCGTACACACAAAGTCCATGCATGCACAAGAACACCTGCAGATGTGTTACCAGGGCCCTACCTACCCTAGACTTACGTTCGTTGGGCCTGCCAAGTCAGTTACTTTTATGCGACTGGACCATTGGGACTCTGGCACTGGGACTTGGGACAAGGACTGAGATGTGAAACCTCTCTCTCACACAAACACACACAGCCAAAGTCATCCTGCATTCATCTCCCGGATAACTTTATACCCATGGCCCCCATATCCGAAACGTTCCCAGCAGTGCAAGCTTGCCAGGTTACTCGCTGTCAATTTGAACTTTTTAGTCTTTTCTGTTTACCTAGATGACAAGATGGGTCAATTATTTGCTTCACTCGTATTAACCGTAGCTGCTGCAGAATCTGCTATTCCGCTCGACATTCTTGTTATTACTTAAACCACCACTCCCCCTCATTGCCGAAAGTCGACTTCCCGGGGAGTTAGGGCCGAAAATGGAAGGGGGTCGGCGACCTAAGAATTTTTTTTTT